ATCGACCTCAATCTCCTGCTCGCTCCCTTGCCCTGACCTGAAAATATTAACCACATATAATGAGCTTTAAAAAGCCCAGCAGATCACCTAATACCTACAACTGAAATCAAAGCACGGTACTGGAAACAATATGCATGTCAGTCAATCAAATCCATAACAGTCTAATTCACATGATCAATGAATCTATGCAAATACGGAAATCAAATCAGTAGTCAATGCAGCGGTAGAAGAATCAATAAACAGTAGGAAGAACTCCATCAAGCTTACTCAATACACTTCAAATCTCAGAAGAATCCGTAAACAGTAGAAAATCAGTCGATCAATCACATCAATCGTATCAAATTGAATCAATCAAAACAATACTATCTAGTAATTAAATCGATCGAAATCAATACAAGAAAGCCCAGATTATACTAGCAATGAATCAAATGCATCAGTTCAATACAGTGTATCAATGAAGCGATAATATCAATAAATATCAATGAATCCATAGTATCCATATCATATCAATATAAATATCCATAACAGTATCGGTATCAATGCTTAGGGCCATAATGCGAATATCAATGAAATCGTACGATACCAGTAAGTCCGTAAATCCGTTAGTAAATCCAAATCAATAAAGCAATAAATCCATCACGAGTCAATGTCGTACACATGCATTTAAATACAATAGTCTTACTGAACAAGTACAATCACTGGCTATTCGATAATCCATAGTTCTGTTGTAGAAATCCATAGTGCTGTTGTAGATATCCATCCGTTGGTTCCATAAGAGTCGTCACTCTGTGCCCGTCGGCATATTAAACTTCTTATGACTCCCAATCGTTATATCAATGATCAATAGTTTAAAGGAAAGCCCGTCGGCCCACCATCCTGTACAGGTCAAGTCGATCTCCAACCAACGGTTCAACCAGGCTTCACTTGTCTTTCAATATTCAGTATTAGAACAGTATAGCAAATCATATTCACATTCGTATACATATCAATTCAAATCATCAATTTCAGAAAATCGGAAAACGTACGGAAAACCGGCGGTGTAACGGCAGTACACTGAATTTACACAAAAATTCCTAAAAATCATAATTTACCAAATTAATACAGAACGTGTACGACAACACTATAAGACTTTTATTATACTGAAGCAACATCAATCAATAATCTGATATTTATCTATTCGATCAAAATCGCACAGAACCTAAAATAACTGGTAGTTACAGAAAATACTCAAAACGTGTAGAAAAATCATATCAATAATATATCAAAAGTTGTGCGGTGAAAGTTTCGTCAATACAAAATGCGGCGCGTTTATCGGTAACGAAAACACAATTATGTGCACAAAACGACCAAAACTCAACATCTTCGATAACAGAAATAGGATTCAGAGTCCTTACCGCGAGATAAATAATCTTTCCAACAACGGCGACGGACGAAAAGCGCTCCGCGGCCTCCGAAATCTGGCTTTTTCCTTTGCTTTTCTTCTCCTTCTCTCTCCTCAGATATTTTGTTTTATAAAAATATTTTCTCTCTCATCAAAACGAGCTGATTTCCTTATAATACAAAGCTGATCGGCCCGCCCGATCGTCACCTCGTCCAGGACGATATGAACAAAATTCAATCGTCTAGGACGATTTCTCAGGACGATAATTAATTTTTCTCAGACGATAAAAATCCTTATTCTCGGGATTTTTTTTCTTATCTGATCATCCCAGGACGATTCCAAAATGGACAGGACGATCCACTCCAGAAAATCAACTGTTTCACTGTACTGATCGTCCTAGACGATCTCAATATCGTCTCGGACGATCCTGGGAGGAAAATCAGATTCAAAAAGGAAAAATCAAAGGAACGAGCTCTCACAAGAAAGACCGTTGTCTGTTGATGGAGGTCGGACGGACCGTAGTAGGCGACGTAGACCTGAAAGACCATAGTCGGTAGGAGACCAGGGTATGGAAGACCGTTGTCTGGTGATGAAGGTCGGACGGACCGTAAGAGGCGACAGAGGTCAGAAGGACCGTAGTCGGCAGGAGACAAGGAGTCAGATGTTAGACCCAGTGTCACTTGGAAGATCCGGTGTTGATGGTCTTGCCTTGAGTAGGACGTCGGGTCTGAACGTCGGGCCTTAAGCAGGATGTCGGGCCTTCAGCGGGACGTAGGGACTGAACGTCGGGCCTAAAGCAGGACGTCGGGTCTTCAACAGGACGTAGGGATGAAACTTTGGCGAGGCTTCGGTGGTGGTCCGACGAGGTTCCTGCGGTGGTCCGGCGGTGGTCCGGCGGGACTTCGGCGGTGGTCTGACGGCCGTCGAGGAGGAGCTTCCTCCTTCTCTTCCTCCTTCTCTTCTTGCTTCTCTTGCTTGGCTCTCCTATTGTGAAGAATGAGGGCTCTATTTATAGATTTTCTGGAGTGGCATGGCTTGTGAATAGGCGTGAGATCAAGGGCGAATAGGGAGTGATCGAATAGACAGCCGATACTAAATCCTATGATCGTGTACCGTTCATTGAACATTTGAGGGCCTTAGTGATGTCGGAATTTAGTAATCTTGGGCTCGTTGGATTTGCCTCGTCGAGCCGTTCGATTCGAGTATAATCTCGTCAAAATCGAAGTCCGTTTGGTAACTCAAATAGTGGTTTGAACCTTCCAACAGCGCTTTGGGTCCATGATTTGGATCCATTTGGGCTCGGATTGGGCCGAACTTGGTTTCGTTGGGTTCGTATTTCCGAGACACTCAATTTGACTATAAGCTCGCTGAAATCGGAGTTCGGGTGCCTCGAGATTTGTGCCCAATCAAGATAATTTTTGGAGTACGTATCAAGAATATTCATGAGAGTGATGCAGCGCTATGAGAGAGGGCATCGTGCGTCTACTCAAAGAGTTTGAATCCATGAAAGGCATGATGCTCACTTTTCAAGTAATCTTCGAGCTTCAAAATATGAAAAATTGGTAAGAGCATATGTAAGATGCAATTTTTTTCTTTGGGGAGGTAAGGAATATTTATTTGGGTGACTTTGGAGAGAAACTTGATATTCTATTTAGTAGCCTAGATGCTCTTTCGAATGAAGTCACCAAGTATATTTGACAAAAAAAATAAGTGAATTAAAATATGACATCATCATTTTAGCAAATTTACAACATCTTCTCAAATGAGTTAGTTTGATGGTGATGCTGAGGTCATATTATGGTACTTGATTCATCTTAGAATAATTTCTCAAGATATTATGCTTGATCGCATGATCCAAGTTTTATTAAGAGGAGTTGCATTATTAGTGTGATTGGTTCGGGAATCCATCTTTTTCAAGACATCCTCCCCTAAAAGTTACATTTTTTTCCTTACAAGAAAGGATTTTTTTTTTTTTTTTGCAAATCTTTTTTATTTATTTTATTCTGATTTTCCAACAAATATTAGTGAATAATCAAAATAAATAGTTTTTTTTAATGATATTTTTGAATATCAATGATTTGGCATGTGAGTTTTTTTCTTTGGATGAGACATTGTGGTGGTTGCCTCTCTTTTGATTTTTCTATATGTAGTCCTTCAATTACTTCCTTTCATTCACTCTTCATTTATTCCTTGGGCCACTTTTCCAAAAGTTTTGCCTTTGTCCTCACTTCTTCCTATATGGCTTAATCTCCTCTCAATTGTTCGCCAATTTGGCCTAGGAGAACCAGAGCTTCCCTTAAACAGTGGCGAAGTATGACGTGAAGTCATTGCAACGATAGTTTGTCTTTAGAGTTACTAAGGCTGCTAACTCTGCTCATGGATCAGTTTAAGGAAGAGACGGAAAGCTTGCATTGTCTAAGCTTTCCAATGAGTTGATTCAAAAGCTAATAATGACTTCATAAGTCAAAACAAATCTTATATATGCTACGTCAACCATAATAACTATGAGATGATCTATATGAAACTATTTAACTAACAGTTAAACACGTTCTATATGAAGCAATTTAAAACATACTGTGGCTTCAGATTCCCGCACGAGGTGGTCCAGCCATACCGCAGCTCCCTGTTCCCTCACAGAATGACCAGAACAGCTAATAAACATTGCATTGGGGGAGAAATGCATACCTATCGAGACTCTATTGTTCCTCACGATCCGGGCACCAGCTATAAATATTAAAGTTAATTTATATACGAAGTAGCATATAGCTAATGTAATATAAGAGTAGGCGAGTAGCCATCATATATGAGTATTGCAAACATATAGGAGCAGTAACAGCAGCATTCAGAAATTTGAACAGAACGGCGAGCTATGGGCTTTCAGCTCGATAAACAAAATAACTACAAACAAAAATTCAAAAACCAAATCATTTTTAATTTATTTTGTTTTTTTCTTAACAGAGATCACAAACTCAAACAATAAAAAATAAAAAAACCAAAACAAAACCTTAAAAAAAAAAAAAAATTCTAAAGAACATACATCCCACTGTATGGTTGCTTGCATGTAAAGCTGAAGAGAGATTGAAAAATAATGCTTGCATTGAGAAGAGCCTTCAACCTTCGTCATGGTCAAGTTGGCTGACGAAGAGGAATGCCTAGACGTGGAACGGAAGGTCGAAAGGGTGAAACGTCGAACGGGCGAACGAGGAGGACAAATAGGATTGGAATAGCGCCATATATGAATATTAGGTTTTTTCTTCCTTGCATATTTCTCTATATGATTTGATGCAAATCGGACAGGTCATTTTTCACTCCAATTGAATCGGACGGTTCTTAAAAATCTAAGCCGATTTGCTGGTTCGACTATCGGGCTGTCCGGTTTTCGACCGATTCTTTGCGAGTCCGAGTTTGTGATGAAATCGAACCGGCCGGCCAATTCCATTTGAGTCCGGGTTTGTAATTTGATTTTGATTTATCATAAAATATAAATAATCAAATCAACGCACTTTTATATGAAATTAATAAAATTATCATTTTATTTCACAAAATAAGCGCATACTTGGTTGGAAAGTGAAACGTTTTATGCGTACCGTTAAAGTCTGGGCCGGTCGAGGAGTCTCTCACACGAACGATTATTTATTTTTCTTTCACGCGTTTTCCACTTTCCCGTTCCACTAATCTAACTCTAACCGCCTCCCGCACCCACCTGACGCGCTATCGCCTCCTTTCTCTTCTTTAAACCACGCCGCTCACCGCTTCTTTCTTCTCAAACCTGCCAAAGCTTCCTCACTCTCAGAGCTCTCTCTCTCTAACCAAGCAGATAGCCATGGCCGCTCTCATCCTCTTTGCTCTCCTCTTCCTATGCGGCCTTCTCAACTCACTCTTCTTTCCCTCCTCCAAACTCCTCCCATGGTTCCACTCCCTTCTCCTCTCCGCCATCTCACCTCCCAAACCCAAGCCCAATCCCCCGCCCAAACCAGATCTCACGAAAGAACGCAGAGCTAACAGATCGGAATCCTTGGCCGATTCCCTAAACCTCAAAACCCTCTTCTCGACCTTCGATGCCGACGGCGACGGCTACATCTCCACCGCCGAGCTCAACGACTCCCTCCGGCGACTCGGCCTCCACGCTACCGGCGACGATTTGACGAACATGATGGAAAGGGTGGATGCGAACGGCGACGGCCTCATCGACCTCAACGAGTTTAAGGAGCTCTGTGCCTCACTCGGATCTGAAGGCGAGGGCGAAGCAGACGAGGATCGGGAGCTTAGAGAGGCGTTCGAGGTGTTCGATGATAACGGCGACGGTCTGATCACGGTGGAGGAACTCAGCCTGGTTTTGAAATCACTTGGGCTGAGGCAAGGCGATCGCGCCGAGGCCTGCCGTGATATGATCAACAGGGTTGATTTGGATGGAGATGGGATGGTTAACTTCGAGGAGTTTAAGAGGATGATGGTCGTTGATGGAGGAGGAAGCTTCTTCTAATCTCCATTTCCGTTCGGGTATTTCTTCTAAATCTTAGTTTCCCCGATACTTGGAAAATTATTAAGCGAGATTCGCTGAAAATGAAATTGCTCTCAGATAAAGACAAACCTCAGCAAACCGCAAGCTTATCTCGTCTGATAATTTCCTCTTTTTTTTTTGGATGAATTTCGCTTGTAATTATGGATTTAAGCATTGCTTAATCAATGAATTTTTTTTTTTTTCATTTTGCGATTTTGGGGCTTGTGAAGGGATTTATCATTTGAATAGATGTGTAATTGTATAAAAAATAGCGATCAAATTTTTATCTTGATGAACCTATCAAGTTGAGTTTTTGTTTGAGATAAATTTTTTACTATTTTCTAAAAAATTATTTTAGTACAAAATTTTTTAATTCAAAATTTTTTTCTTAATAAAAAATTACTTTAAAATATAAGTAAAAAATTATCCTAAATGAAACCTATAAATATTAATTTTAAAGATATTTATTTAATATATATGATAATAATAATAACATTAAATATTTATCTCATTATATATATCAACAGCAACATGAATATTTTTTCTCTATTGAATCCTATTAAAGTTAAAAAATTTATTTAAATCTAAAAAAAATATCATTTTTAATATTTTTTAACCAAGTCTTTTTCGGTCTACCCCGCGTA